GACCTGATGGCTTCAAATTCACGCCAGGCGTGTGTGTGTGTGTGTGTGTGTGTGTGTGTGTGTGTGTACCCAAAATCCCGAGAGGAGAATGAAGGAGATTGAAGGAACTGTGGTGTGGCCATCCCCCACTCCCGGGGGGTGATTTCTCACTTTCTGTCTCTCTGTCTCTTTCTGTCTCTCCAGAAAGTGCACGTACCCTATAGCAAAAATCTCTCTCTAAAAAAAAAAAAAAAAAAAAATGGGGATAACAGTGGTACCTCCCACACAGAGCTGAGGTAAGGCTTCACAGGGACTTTTGAAGCCAGATTTGAAGTCTTGGAAAAAGGTGAGTTCCAAACTCTCAGCGTTAACCACAGCACAATAGCTTCTGCCTCCCAATCACAGCTTTAATCGAACCCAATCTAAAAGTCGCTGTAACTTTGAAAACCACTCAAACTCCTTCCATGCAATTTTATAGCAGATCTGAAACTGTTTAGCTGCACCAGGCCAGGCGGTAAGTGAGGAGAGGAAGCCCTGTCTGTGTTTATAGCCTTTGACAAATGGGCTCCCGTCTCCTCCTGACAGATTCTCCCCCTGACTGATCCATCAGCCTCTCCTCTCATCACCTGAATCGCAGTCTTCATAATAGTATTGAAATTCAGATGGATTTTACACCACAAATAAAAATGAATTTAAATGCCTCAGTTCCCCAGCAGAAACACCGGTTCTGTAAATGTCAAATGCATGCAGTTTCTTGAGGCCATATAGCTGCTCTGGGTGATGGGCTACTTACCATCACCTCTGCTAAATCTGCCTGGGCTCACAGCATTCAACTGTGGGAGACGGCGGTCTGCACCCCTGCTTCCCATTTAGAGGTGAAACACCTCTCAGACTTCCCTGTGACATCCTCAGGGAGATTAAGGAATGGCCAGGAACCCATCAGGGCTCAGACACACGTGCAGGGGCTCTGCTAATTGGCAGACTTGGAAGCCAAGGGGAAGCGTGCAGGAGAGTCTCACTCCGATGCACTCCACGGATTTCCCCGTAAGCAACCAGGCAAGGGTCCCCAAATGACACTCAACTCTCTGTCGGCCGCATAGAAAATCAACTTCTCGGATAAAGGAAAAGTAGGGGGAAAAAAGTACTCTTTCTTCCTGTCAAGCATCTCAGATCAAGCCCAGAGTATGTGCAGACAAGAACCATGTCGGCCTAGCCTAGGTGGTGCGTGATACTGAAGCCATGTCAGAAAGCCCCAGGTTCGGGTCCCAGGTTCACCTGAACACGCTGGCATGCACACAGACATGCCTGAAATCCTGGGTGGCTGAGCAGCTGAGGCAGGGAAAATGGGGCATGGTGAGACCCCATCTAAGGTATTGTGTGCTTGCGCTCTTTCATTCTGTGTGTGTGTGTTGTTCTCTCGCACATGAAAGAAATATTAAAAAAAAAAAGAAGAAGAAGAAGAACCACAATGGTATTGTTCTCCATTAGCATGAGGGCCCTCTTTTGCTCCTGAGATTTGCTGTTTATCTTCCATCATTATATCTGGTCGAGGAGTCAGTGGAGAATGACTCACCTCAGGGTGGAGGGCATGGAACCAGGCCGAGAAGGCAACAACAGGCCCTGCCAGAGCCAACAGGCAGGGTGGGATGCTGTGCACTAGACTTCTTCCATCAGGAAGCTTTGGAGCGGTCTTCCCTCTCCTCTGTACGCAGAAGGCACGGGAGTTTCCAGAGAGAACTCCGATGTGCTGACAGGAGTACGGAATAAAAACCGTCCTTCACGGCAGCTGGCCTCACTCAAGAGCCAGCAAAGACTGCTGTCTGCCTGAGCGCAACCCCTCAGCTCGAGATGGGGAAAGGAAAAGGCAAACTTAAAACGGTGCTCCAAATCGTCAGGTATCCAGCACATACAGAGGCGTGGTGAAATCCGGTATATCTGTGCTTGCCGACAGAGATAGACGGAGGAGAGGAGGATGGGGAGTCGGGGAGGGGAGCCGAAACCAGACAGGGAAAGATGCAGGTTACTCCTGGAAAGCCACGGAGTCCTTCAGGGGCCCAGGCGAGCTTTCGTAACTAAAGGAAAAATACTGCCAATTCTTCGGAGCATTCAGCAGTCAGAAAAACCCACACGGGCCAAGGGGCTGCCGCGTCGGAGACAGGCTTACTTACTATGCCGGCACCTCTGTCATCTCCTGTCACTTCAATTCCACTTTATCAAATTACTGATTCTGCCAGGAGCATGTGGATAAATGGAGAGGGACACACACACACACACACACGCAGGAGCAAGTGTCATCACTTCAGTGGTGAAATTTCATAATTATATGTCAGGGCGACAGAAGTCCCAGAGTGCACTCTCAAAACTGTAGGCCGCACACTGCAGCAGCCGTCTCCCGGCGTGGCCTCACGCCGTATCTGCAGAGACAGACAGGGGCAGCGCTCTGCTGCGGAGGACGGGGTGCTGTCCCTTGGGAGGGTTAGGGTTCACCTTTCGACTTCTCCATGAAAAGAACGGTCTCTGATAAGTAACATTACTTCCCAAAACCTCGCCCTCAATGTCTAACCACCCAGAAATGCTGTAGCACACGTGCAAGATTCAGTGTATTCCCGAGACAGGAAGGAAGGAAGGAACAAGTGTTCTTGTTTAATGGATAATAAAGCCTTCAGAGGACAAGAACTGGAAGCGAGCATTATTATTATTATTTATCACAAGGAGTCTGCTGCCAATTTACTGCAGCCAAATGTTCAGTTAATTTTTTTCCTTTATTCATGATAAAATAAGGGTGTGCATACATGAAAGTAAGAGCGGGGGGAAGAGAGGGAGAGGGAGAAAGAGCTGAGCGTCCTGTCCTTCACGGGGCCCTCGGGCCCTGCAGCCTGTAGACCATGGGCATGCTGTGTGTGCAGGATTTGTTTCAGGCTGACTGGGTGGGGGATTTGAACCACAGCTGTGGTGGGATCCAGCTTCTCTCGAGCAGTGTGTTGTTACCACTGAGTCATGAAGTGAGGGCCTGCCCGATTAAGTCAGTCTCCATCTTGTGGGGTCAAGTTTAGAAAACAGCTGGAGAACCTCTCGTGTGAAGTGTCTCACTCGACACAACAATGAAAAACCACAGAAGCGTGTGTGCGTGCGTGCCTGCATGTTCTCTCTTTTTTTTTTTTAAGAGGCTTTTTGCTATAGGGCGCGTGCACTCGCCAGACAGAAAGAGAGAGACAGAGAGACAGAAAGCAAGAAATCACCCCCCAGGGGGAATGGCCACGCCGCAATCCCTTCTCCTCTCGGGATCTTGGGCACGCACACACATGCGCCCGGCATGAGTTTTAAGCCACCGGGTCTGGAACTCGAACCATAGTCGACTACATGGGAATCCAGCGACATAGCCATTATGCTAACTGCTGGTCCCCATGTTCCCTTTTCTTGAGACGAGCAGAAATCACAGACAGGAAGCTCATCGATAACTTCTCCCCCAGTAAGCATCACAGAGCAGCCACAGGCCAGGGTGGTCCTTAGCATCATGAAGGAACCAAAGGCAGGCTGGGGGAGTGGGGTGGAGCCTGCCTGGATGCTTCACTGCTCAGAGCTTTCCTGGCTGCTCGCTCTCCTTGGCGGTGATGGGACTGAGGTGGTCCTGAAACACACCATTCCCTGGTGTCTTTCAAACACCACCAGCAAAGAAATTTTAAAAAGTGAAAAAAGATACTGCACAGAAACATGCTTGTTAATTTCATAAAACTCCAAGGGCAGTGGACACATCTCACACTTTGGAAGTGGGTCAGGGAATATCCTTTGTGGGCACTATGACCTGAGCAAAGTGGTGGGGACAGGGCTCTAGGCTTAGATTCCATGTGTCCAACTCACAAAGCACACACGCACGTACAGCAGTACAGCAACACGCGGACGCGCGGTGAATGCAAGCGTAAATTAAAACACCGGTGCCTGCAAACGAGAGCAACACACACCTCCATCTGAGCTGGGACCACGCCGTTTGAATTTGAGCTACCGTATCATTATTCCTTTCAGTGTGAGGAGATTAACACTCCCTAAAATAATACACGGAGATTGCTTTTCATTTAAACGCAAATTTTGTTTTGAAAAGTCCTCAACTGCCTTATTAATCAGAACACATGCCTGAGCCATCAGAAAATCAAAGCTGAACACCTCTGCCTGAAATAATAACCGCGTTTGACAATAATGGTATAGTTGCGATGAGAAACATCTTTCAAAATTGCAGAGTGATGTCAAGAGTAGCCAAGAGATACATACACTCCACTCACTGGCTTGACCTCTCTGGATTCAAGGCGTTAAGGGTAAAATTTGATCTGCTCAAATGTGCTTTGCCACAGAAACTTCGGTGAACTCTTCTCAATAAAGACAGACAGTGAAAAACATCAAAGTGAAGAACAATTGTCTAATCATTGCTTTTTCCTGAAGGGACTCGTATCAAGTGTAACAAAGAAGGTAAATGGGGAGGTGGCTCTAAATAGATAGGGAATGGCCTCCCCCCACCTCCAGATCTCATTTAGGAAGTCCCCACTCATGTCAATGCATTGTGATAGAAATTGGGACCTTCCCTTTCTCAAGTCAGAGTCCATGGATCACATATGTAGAGACACACCTCAGGAAGCTCAATATTATATATTCCACAATATAAGTAACATTATAAAACTCTGTGTGATGATAGATGATATATGTGCAATAACTATCAACAATATTTAACCGGACCACATGAGTTCAAGAATGAATGAGTTCGTTTCCTGAAAGAAGGATGTGACTAAGACAACAATCAGCACCAAACTTTGGGTGAACCTCATTACCTGACACACACTTCATGAGGCCGTGAGACACATCACAGACTGCAGAAGAGAATGACAAACATTCTAAAGTACGATTGTCTTTAAGCGTCGAGTATCAGCATATGAATCACCAGCAGACCTTCCTCTGTCCAGCAAGCCCCAACCACTTCAATGGCCATCAGTTCTCGTTTTGTTGGAAACCAAAATGATGAAAAAATAGTGCCTTACCTTTCTGTCCTCTATTTCCACGCAGGTACTGCAGTCTGCTTTGATATCCTAAGAGAAGGAGAAAAGAAATGGAGAGAAAGAACAGGAGTCAGACTTACGGTCAGACAGGCAATGGTGTCGCTGAAATGCCCTTTAAAATAATAAAGGGCTCCCGCTCCTAACAGTTCTTTCTCGAGTCATTGCTCTTTATGTGCTTTTTAGAGGTGTGCTGTGGTGTTTGCCTTAAGACATACGGATGTCATAAGCAAGCTTTATTACATGCAGATGTGGGGTGAAGGCAAAAGCTATGGATCAGAGGCCACAGCACCGAGGCACTGAGGGCTCATAAAATGATCTGCTTCCCCACCATACGCCTCAGTTCAGATCAGCAGGGACTGCCCTTAATTGGATTTAACGTCTCTCCCATTCCATGTTTAGGATAGTCAGATCTACCTCGCTTCAACACAAAACCATCACTGTCCACTTTTCATCCTTTGTTCATCCATCCTCCCACTCATCCATCCATCTTCCATCTACCCATCCATCCACCTAATCACCCACCTACCCATCCATGCATCCATCCTCCCACCTATCCATCCAGCCTCTGTCTACCCATCCATCCACCTAATCACCCACCTACCCATCCATGCATCCATCCTCCCACCTATCCATCCAGCCTCTGTCTACCCATCCATCCACCTAATCACCCACCTACCCATCCATGCATCCATCCTCCCACCTATCCACCCATCCTGCATCCACTCACCCATCCGCCTAATCACCATCTATCCACCTACCCACCCATCCAGTAATCACTCATCCATCATACTATTGCTCAGACCTACTGTTTCTCCTTCCTCCTATTGCTATGCTACATAAAGGTGAAAAGAACATGGCGTTTGCTCTCAAAAAACTCACTAGTTGGAAAAAAATAGCAGACACATTCCCACAAGCAAGTGCAGCACTAATTTTCTCATTCAAAATATGTGTACTCAGCACCTGCTGCCTGGATGACTTAAAAATCACACTGAACACGGGGGAAGCCTTGCCCTGGGGACACTTACATTCTGGAAAAGACAGACAACAGAAACAAATGCCAGTAAACGGTATTTATTGGGTCATTGAAAAAAAGTCATGACTTTGCCAACAACCCAATAGAAGATGATACATACTATGAAGAAAAAGGTCAAAGAAAGGGGTGAAAAAATGCCGAGGGCAAGAGAGTATGGTGTTTTGTTTTGTTTCAGGTTTTTGGCACGTACTCTCACAGGAGAGAGAGAGAGACAGTGAGAAATCACCCCAAATGGGGATAGCCACACACCCCCCCACACACACACACTTAAAAAAATTCCCCTTCCCCCATTCTCTTCTTGGAATTTTGGACATGCACGCACACACACACACACAGTGTAACTCTCAAGCCATCAGGTCCAGGACTCAGTCAGCCTTGTGGGAGTCCAGTGCTTTAACCACCATACAACCTGCTGGTCCCAGGAGTGTGATTTTAAATTTCAAAAGGACTGGCAACAGAGCAGAGGCTTGCAGGAAGAGAGAGGCTGGACCCGGTAGCCATCTGGGGAGAAGCAACCCTGACAAAAACCACCCAGGGGGGTGGTGGGTGGCTGTGGCACGCATGCTCTGCGAGGCTGGCCCATGTGGAAAGGTTTCAGAGACCTTCCCGAGTACCCAGCATGCACACGTCTGTGATAACGGCTGGCTGAACCTGGGGATAAAGCGCAATGGTGGAACTTTGATGGGATACTGTCTCTCACAGAAAAAAAAAAAAAAACAATGAAAACATAAATGGAAACTGGAGATTAACTCAGTGTGGAAGTGATGAACATCATGGCTTATTTGTAAGCCTAGAAAATGCCATCTAGAAACAAGGAGAGAAGAAGCGGGTCCCCGTCTGCTTTATCCTGTTCTGACGAGGTGAAGCATGTGTCTCCGTTCTCTCCCCCAGTGAGAGCTGCTGGGTTTGCAGGGAAGAGTCCACATCCGGTTTTGATTTACCCGTGCAGAAGTGGCAGGTGTTAATCAACGAACTAGTGAAATCAATAAACCAAAGGCAGACTTTTGTTTTTAATCTGCCACTGAGGGCCCACGCAGGCGACAGAAAAAAAGCCATCGGGCAGAATCAGAGCTTTTGCCATTTCCCTAAGATTATTCAATTTATTCTTGTCAGGATTAATTTACTAAAGCCATGCTGGATTTTTTATTTAGATGATATTGTTGGTTTGTCATCCGCTGCAGATCTGCGCGAGAGGCGCCCCCGGGGACTGCATTTGCTTCTGAGCAATGTTGGACTCAAATTGGAAAAATGTCACTTTGGCGGGAACAAATTATTGTTGGGATCACTCTACACAGAGCTGGTATCTCTGGACGGGTTCTGACCTGACCTTTTCCGAGCCCGAGTACTCAAGTAAGTACTTCAGCTTGGAAAACAGCTCAACTATTTAAGTATTAAGTATAAATTTGGAGCCGTGTGCTCATCGCCTAGCAAGTCATTTTGCTATCAGCCACCTACGCGCGATAGCCGGCAATCCCTGAGCGAGAGTACCACTCAGTTGAGGTAACAGACAGGATTCTGCTCGGAAAATGGAGTCGTACTGCTTGGTTTATTCTGGACCCTGCCACACTTGTCGAGGGATCTACACAGGGAGTGCGACTTTCCTTCACCCCAATTTCCCCAGCTATAGAACAAGGACGATGCTCCAGATAGCTGCCTCCTTGGGGGTTAGGTATCTCCGCAGACCCAGCCGTCTCGGCACACAGCAAGTCCTCAGGAAATGCTAGCTCTCGTTGACTGCATCCTCCAAAAGTCTTTGTGAAACCCGGCTCTGAGCGGAGGGCTAAGCGCTTAAAAACAGTTCTATTTTTAAAGTTTTCTCTTCCAAGGCCTCCGAGTTCTTCCGCTCTTAGACATCAAAGCACTCACATGTCTGTTCTTTTCAGAAGCGATTCTCTGTCCTGAGAGGGATTTCTTTTCTTCTTTACTTTGTGTGTTGGTTGTTTCTGATGATTTTGTAGGTCAGCGTTATTTGAGCCTACAATGCAGGGATACCATCACCTCGGATCCTGTATCAGCCCCAGTGACAGCTCTGAAGTGCCCAGCAGTTAAAGGTCCCAGTGACCAGGTGGTGAGAGATGCCTGCTCCTGGGAGTCCAGAGAGCTCTGAGGAAGCTGAAGTAGATCTGTACAGAAGTGGGGGGCCTGTACTGGGCTGAAAACGCACGAGTGAGGAACCTGCATTGGGCTGGATATTCAGAAGTGGGGTACCTGTACTAGGTTGAATATTCAGAAATGGGGTGTCTCTATTGGGTTTTAACTTAGATAGGGGGACCTGTATGGTATGGAATAGCAGACCCCCCCAAATATGCACAGAATGTACTCTTACTAGCTTTTAAGGTGATCTAATTTGGAAATCAGGTGTTTGCAGATGTTATTCAACACCGTGAGATGAGACAATCCTAGGTTATTGGGTGGACCTGAAATTCAATGACAAGTGTCCTTACATGTGACAGAAGAAAAGGGCAGGCAAAGACTGGAATGACACTGCCCGGCTGAGACTCTGGAAGAGGCCAGGAAGGGTTCTCCCCAGAAACTCTGATAACGTGGCCCCGGCAGCACCTCGAGCTTGGACTGCTGGCATCCAGAAGTGCGAGATGATGCCTCTCTGTTGTTTTAAGGCACGCACTTCATGGTCATTTGTTAGAGCAGCTTCTGGAAACAAATGCAGAGCAGAGGCGCTTGTGTGCTAATCTCTCTTGCTTGATGCTGGACTACTTATCACTGAGAAGAGAAAGGTAAGGTCCAGAGAATGCCCTTGGGTAGTCCAAGCCCTCAGGGAGAAGAAAAATTCCTTCACAGGGAATCTCAGGATGATCTTGAGTGGTTACACTCATGGGCCCAGGTGTTTTCGAAGGCAGCCCCAGGAACCTCGGAATTGATGTCAGTCATCAATTCCGAAGAGCAATGGAAAGAAAAGACCAGAGCACTTACATTTGACATGGGAGTTAAGTAAGGATCATATATCCTGAACACAGCATTGTTCTCCTGAACTGAGACACTCACAGACTCCCAGAGCACTCCCAGAGCACCCTTCAGAGGTAGGATCTGCGGCTTGACTCACCTCTCGGGAGAGTAGGGAGACACATGTCCTGGCTTTCATTTGACAAGCCCAAATCAGGCTCATGAGCAACTGTCTTCCTGCTGGGAAGAAACCCAAGTGCTTAGCTTTTCCTCTTACAACAGAAAATAAATGCTATAGCAAGACAAGGAAAATGACATCTCATTGCAAAAAGAATTCAAAGCACATTTTAAATCCGCATGAATTTATAAGTGGCTCCCTTTGAGAAAGAAATCTTTCCGATGATTTGGATATTATGTTCCCACTTGTTATGAAAATAACAATGGCTTCAAATTTAAAATAAGTCAACAAATATGACTTTAGATGCTAGGACCAAGACGACACTGCTGATTTTCTGCAGTTGCGTTCTTAATTTATTGGCTCTCACAAAGACTCAGACTTTGAAAATAAACGTAAGACACAGAGTCTATCTGACTGAATATATTCATAATATATTCATTTTGCACATGAGAAAATGAAGTTTCAAAGAACATAGGGAATTGGACTCACATTACTCTGGTAGGTGTAGATGGTATAAAGAGGGACTGAAAGCCATCTGGTCTACCTGCTGTGTATTTTATCTTATCCCTACGCCATACATTATTCTTGATGTTGACTATTTAAATCAATAGTTCAAAGTTAATTGCCTTATTAATCATAATGACTGTGCCTCCAGTTTTTTTATTATCATTTTTTTAATGAGCAGTTATGTTGTCTTTATAACCACAGTTGGTACAATTTTGAAATCATGCCTGAATTTTTTACCTTCTGTGTTCATCTCCTAAGACTAAGATTCAAATAAGGTCCCTGGAACACATGAACAATTGTATAAAGCATTTGCACTGACATAGCTGATCCATTTCATATTTCCCCTCACCAATTTGCTCAGCACTTGCAATATCACACGCAGCCAGCAGATGGGAGCAAATGTCTTTGTAA